AATACATGAGCGGGACACAGAAAGGAATTGGCAAGAATACCAGAGGTGCAAAACACCAGCTACTGGTAGACAGAACAATCAGCCGAGACTGCAAGACCAGACTGACCAACCTGTGCACTGCCTGGATTGATTACAAGAAGGCCTATGACTCAATGCCCCACAGCTGGATACTGGAATGCCTAGAATTGTACAAGATCAATGGGACCCTAAGAGCCTTCATCAGGAACTCAATGGGGATGTGGCGTACAACACTAGAGGCCAACTCCAAGCCCATAGCACAAGTCACCATCAAGTGCGGGATCTACCAAGGAGATGCTCTGTCCCCACTGCTGTTCTGCATAGGCCTGAACCCCCTCAGTGAGATCATTAACAAGACTGGCTACGGATACCGACTACAGAACGGAGCAGTTGTCAGCCACCTCCTGTACATGGATGACATCAAGCTGTATGCCAAGAGTGAACGAGACATCGATTCACTGATCCACACTACCAGGCTATACAGCAATGACATTGGAATGTCGTTCGGGCTGGAGAAGTGTAGTCGGATGGTAACAAAGAGAGGGAAGGTAGTCAGAACTGAGGGGATTGAACTACCAGAAGGCAACATTGCAGACATAGAGGACAGTTACAAGTACTTGGGGATCCCACAGGCGAATGGGAACCATGAAGAGGCCGCTAGAAAAGCTGCAACCACCAAGTACCTGCAGAGGGTCAGGCAAGTCCTGAGGAGTCAGCTGAATGGTAAGAACAAAATCCGGGCCATCAACACGTACGCCCTGCCCGTGATCAGGTACCCTGCTGGGGTAATAGGCTGGCCAAAGGAGGAGATAGAAGCCACTGACATAAAGACAAGAAAGCTCCTTACCATGCATGGAGGGTTTCACCCCAAATCCAGCACCCTGAGGCTGTACGCTAAGCGGAAGGAAGGGGGCCGGGGACTGGTGAGTGTCAGCACCACAGTCCAGGATGAGACAACGAACATCCAAGAATACATTAGGAAGATGGCCCCAACTGACCGAGTGCTCAGTGAATACCTCAGGCAGCAGAAACCCAAGAAAGAGGAGGGAGACGAGGAACCATCATGGAAGGACAGGCCCCTGCACGGTATGTACCACCGGCAGATAGAGGAGGTGGCTGATATCCAGAAATCCTACCAGTGGCTGGACAAAGCTGGACTGAAAGACAGCACAGAGGCACTAATCATGGCAGCACAAGAACAAGCTCTGAGCACAAGATCCATAGAGGCTGGGGTCTATCACACCAGGCAAGACCCCAGGTGCAGGGTGTGTAAAGATGCCCCAGAGACAATCCAGCACATAACAGCAGGGTGCAAGATGCTAGCAGGCAAGGCATACATGGAACGCCATAACCAAGTGGCCGGCATAGTGTACAGGAACATCTGTGCCGAGTATAACCTGGAAGTCCCGAGGTCAAAATGGGAGATGCCCCCAAGGGTGGTGGAGAATGACCGAGCTAAGATCCTGTGGGACTTCCAGATACAGACGGACAAAATGGTGGTGGCTAACCAACCGGACATAGTGGTGGTAGACAAACAGAAGAAGACGGCCGTAGTGATCGATGTAGCGGTTCCGAATGACAGCAATATCAGGAAGAAGGAACACGAGAAGCTGGAGAAATACCAAGGGCTCAGAGAAGAGCTCGAGAGGATGTGGAGGGTGAAGGTAACGGTGGTCCCCGTGGTAATCGGAGCACTAGGTGCGGTGACTCCCAAACTAGGCGAGTGGCTCCAGCAGATCCCGGGAACAACATCGGAGATCTCTGTCCAGAAGAGCGCAGTCCTGGGAACAGCTAAGATACTGCGCAGGACTCTCAAGCTCCCAGGCCTCTGGTAGAGGACCCGAGCTTGAAGGATAAACCGCCCGCAGGGGCGTGCTGGGTGTTTTTTTAGGGGTGCAACGATATTCGTATCGATATTGAACCGTTCGATACAGTGCTTTCGGTTCGGTACGCATATGTATCGAACAATACAAAATTTGTAATTTATTTTATCAACTTTCCTTCTGACGATGCTGTCTGTGTTGAGCGCTCAGTGAATCTGCGTTCGACTGCTCCGCCTAGGGTCGACAGTGCAGCCTAGGCGGAGTAGTCGAACGCAGATTCACTGAGCGCTCAACACAGACAGCATCGTCAGAAGGAAGAGCGCACGGCAAGCTAGCGAGACAGAAGTTAAGCTCCCCTTACAACATGGACCTCCCCCACTCTCATTCAGATCTGGCGTTTGGAATTATTTTGGTTTTCATGTGACGTATGACCCTGAAGGTAAGCGAGTCATGGACTAAAGTAAAACAGTATGTTGGATGTGCCATGCAATGCTCAATTACATGGGTGGGAACTAGTGTGTTAGCGCAGTTAGCTCGTTAACGTGTTGGCCGTCTAGCCCCATGCACGGGGCGATCGGCAGTAGCTCGTTAACGGAGATTTGCTGTGTTGTGGCGTTAAGGTCATTTCAACGAGATTAACCTGAAAGCACTAGTGGGAACACAACGAATATGACTGCACATTTACGCCGACATCATCCTAGTGCAAAGACAAGTGGAAGCAGACAAAAAAAAGCAAGCATGCTAGCCGAGTCATTTAGACAGCTGTTTAATATGCTGCTGAGAATATAGCCCAGAAGAAGCGGATAGTATAGCTTTTATTTTGGAAAGAGACATTTCTCTGTAATAAACTGTCTTTTCCAAAGATGAGTGATTCCTCAATCAGATACAGGGCTCGCAATATCGCTAGCCCAACGTCCCGGGGCTAGCGATTTTTTCAGTCGGGCTACCAGAATCTATCTCTGCCCTGCCCGTCGGGCTTTTGTAGGAAGGAAAAATATATGTCAATGCTTTTGCATTCTTTCGGAAATGTAGCTGGGTAATTATGTCATTGGCATCGGTGAGCCACTGTCAATATGTGACATATTGAAATCGCGTTTGAATTTGCGCTTGTTTTTTTGCTTTCACTTTGCAATCGCGCGAACTGTGTATAGAGTAGGGCTGCCACGATTTGTCGACTAGTCACGATTACGTCGACTATCAAAATCGTCGACGACTGATTTAATAGTCGACGTGTCGTTTGAAGCTTTGTAAGATCGCAAAAGACGCAGGAATAATAGCAGGATTTAAGAGTGTAATAACGGACTGAAACAGAAGATGGCAGCACAGCATGTACAAGGATGCCAGCTGCCGTTAAACCCCGAAGAAGAAGAAGCAGCTGTGTCCCAGAATTCATAGCGCGGCCCAGCTTAGTTTCCAACAATGGCGGTAGCTAGTTAGTTTTAATATTACTCTTATTATTCTTTCTGGGTCACAAAATAAACGTTTAACATATTTTCAGGCGAGAATGTAGCTGTGTAAACCTCAAATATCGGCTCAGTTTATCAGGACACCACATATTTTCAAAAGCGCTCCGACGTTTTCGGAGACGTCTGTTACCCACTAGCTCGATAGCTAGCCGGGGGCTAGGTCACTAGGTTAAATATATATGAGTCACTTAGATAAATTAAAAATGTTGTTGTTTGGCTTTTTTTTTTTTTTTGTATTTTATTTGTTCCTGAGTAAATCGGTTTGGCTGAGATTAAAGTTATAGTTTTTACACAGCTGAATAAACGTCAAGCAGACAGCTGATTATCAGAAGTGTGAGATGCTGGAGAATATACTCCGGTGTCCTGTTATATTTTAGATAGCAAGGAGTTTATTAAACTTTACCGAAACAATCTGCAAATTTCATTAAAATTGAATAAACTATCATCTTGTCTTTATTTTTAGTTAGCACCTTAAAAGCTTAAAGCTGTAAGCTAATGATAGTTATATAAGAGCAGATGTTGCTGGTGCAATAAGCTGTAGTTTTACGTCCAGTGATGGTTGCTGCATTTTATTTTTGAAGGACTTTTTGTTTATTTTGGATGATGATGATGATCTGATTAGTCGACTAATCGCATAAATAATCGGTGACTATCGACTATCAAAATAATCGTTTGTGGCAGCCCTAGTATAGAGAGCGACAGCACTGATCTGTGAGTGATGATAATTTGTGCACCAATTCCTCTGACATCGTCTTATTAATTGTTAGCTTACTATGCAAACATGACAAGTGAAATCTCCCGCAGCAAGCTTAAACATGTGAGAGGTTGATCGCGCAGAGAATTGCTGAGCTTATGTGAGTGCATGTGTAAAAGCATTTCAGTTCTGCTGAGCCAAATAAGACAGGTCAGGGTGAAGAAGTGACAGCCAAAGAAAAGCTTACCACAAAACGGAAAAGTTATGACAAATCAGACTATAAGGCAAAAAGAAAGTGCAGCTTTATGGTTTCATGGACAAAATAATTTCTGTGGCTGCAATATGACAAGCTAAATAACCAGGGCTGCACATAAGTGGTCCGCAGGTGCGCATTCGCTGTCAAAATAAAAAACACGCACAAGGGTTAGGGTTAAATTTAAAAACTGTACTTTTGAGTTAAAATATATATTTATAATCTTAATAAATGACAAATTAAAAAGGCATGAACATTTTTTTTGTATCGAAAAAATATCGAACCGTGACACCAAAGTACCGAACCGTGAATTTTGTGTATCGTTGCACCCCTAATATAAATATATATATATATATATATATATATATATATATATATACATACTGCAATAATGTACAATAAAAATGACAGATATGGACATATTACAATAAAAAACAGCAGATAAATGGACTGGATCTTTTATTCATATACGGTATAGATAGATTGTTGATTGTGCCAACAACACAAAGTTCATGTCCTAGCCTTGTTTTATCTCTGAGATCATTCTCTCTGGTGCTTTCTACTCCACTGACTTCACTTAGTTACGACAGAAAATTGTTGCTACTACTACAATGTCACTGTCAACAAAGTATTTTTCCACAAGTGGGAAAAAACAGGAAAGTTCCCAAACGTTCCCCTGATAACAGCAGCATTCATTTTGTAAAAAGAAAAAATACATAAACAAGCGTAAGAGAGAGTAAACTCACCAGACCCTCTTAAGAATCTTTCTGTCCAGTGCCGGGGTTTCCCTGCAGATTCAGAGAGTAGCCATAGGCACATAATTAAAAAGTAATCATTATCACATGAGAGCCTGCTGGGTAACTTAATTTGCTGAAGCTGGACATGAAAAGAGAAAGAACACAGCTCAGACAGGAACTCAGTCAATCATTGGCCTGATAGCATTACATAATGTTACTGCTGGAAGAAAATAACAATTTAACAAGCGCTGACCTTTGAACATCTCTTTACATCAACAGCACTTTACATCATTTTTAATCAACACATTTCCCTGACTGTCCTTGTTTTTAATCTCATAGTATAGTATTTCACTTGCCTTTTTATTTGCCTTTCTCTAGCAGGTTGCTTCAAGAAGTCCAGCTGAGCTCCTTCTCACTCCAACACAAAACCTGTTTGAGTCAAGCTGTTTCTTTCTTCAACTGCTTTTTCTAAAGGACACCTTGCCGTGCGAGTACGCTGTGAACTTGGAAAATAGACAGATCTTTTTTGTGACCCCTATGTGCTAGAGAGACACGGGCCTACTTTACAGATGAGGATAGAATTATTAGCCCACCTATACATGTTTTCAAAGTATTTCCCAAGTGCCAAACATCCTAGTTTTATTTTTGATGGTTACATTGTTTAACTTTGTGCACAGAAACAAAATGATTCCACTAAAACTACAATGGTCAAAATTATTAGCCCAAATGATGTTAATCTTCATTTGTGTATCCTTTTTGCTGTTGTCAGGTGTTGTTTTCATGTCTCAAACACACCTCTAGAGTAACCCCAGTTCATTCTTCTTTGTCAAATCTCTCAAGCTTCTCCAGATTTGATGATCTTCTTACGTGGACCTTGCTCCTCAGTTCACCACACAGATTTATGTCAGTTTACTTTGGTCTTTAGTTCTTTACCAGAAGCGATATATGTTTAAGGTTTTGATGGAAGACAAAGCATACACTCACTCAGTTTTGCTGCTGACTACTTGAGGGTTTTCTTTCAAATATTTCACATATGCTTCTGCTTTCATGATTCCTTCCATCTTGACAAGATTCCCAGTTTCAGACACACTGAAGCATCCCCACAGTTCTTCTGCAAAAGTGCAATTTTTCTTAGCCTGCAACGTCACAGTCCATTCCTGTGCAGAGTTCTAGTGATTGTCTTAAGACTGCAAATACTGACCTGTCTAAGTCAATCACTGGTGTCTTGGCAGTTATTCTGGGATCTTTAGACACATCTTTCACTAGTTTTCTTCGCAGAGTCTTTGATATCTTACAGTTACTTCTGCCAGGCTTGTTCTGTACTGTGTGGCTCTCTTTCAATTTCTTGAAGATACTTCTCACTTCAGTTGTCATAACCGTGTTTATGCTTCGCTTTCCTGCTTTGTAAGCATCAATTCTTTTTCTCAAGTCTAAACTTTTTCCTTTGATTTTGGCACAATGCTTTCTCAAGTGCCAGCTCCCTGAAGTTATGCTGTGTGTAAATTGGAAGATATCCATCAGTTTAACTTGATTTTACAAGCTTTGACTATTACAAAGTAAAAGCACATCCTTTCAGTTGTTTGTGCTATGGCTCAATAAACAGTTTTCAGGGAGCTAGAATTTGCCTGGCATTATCTTTTTTTACTTTATTTTTTTTAAGTAAATAATCCATTGCACATTAAACAAAAATCTGTTCTAACTATTGCTATAATAATAATAATAATAATAATAATAATGTGCTTTTATTGATGCCATGAGGACCTCTAGGCAAGTACCATCAGCTTCTATTATACTAAAGAGGACTTTTTAATCAAACAGCTGAATAAATTATGTAAAATGATAGGGATGTGCAAATGGTACTACAGACCAGAGAGAAAATACGTTAGGAAACATTTCAATCACCTCTGCTTTGTTATATTTATGAAAAAAAAAAAAAAAGACTGGAAATTATTTGAATCATAAACACCCTTTAAAGAAGTTCATCGGCTCCGGTCACTCAGGAGGCCCCTCTTAGTAAACCTCTACAGTTCAATCTATTCATGTTCGCCATGAAGCTGTGCTGAAAATTCTCAGTTCAGTCTACAACTCCAGGTGTTTAAAAGGATTACTGCGTGACAAGAAACCTGCATAAAAAGTTTTATTATTATTAACAATAATAATAATCATGAGTCTGTTCCACTTTGTAAGTGGATGCATAAAGACATAGAAAAAAAAAAATAATAATAATTATGAGACAAGCAATGAGAGCCCAAACGCACAGCAACAACACAGGACCTTCAACTAAACAGGCAGCATCTTGATTGTACACATACTTCTCTCAGTTCCTATTATTGCTCCCCAGTCCAACAAGAAGAAATGTGAACCACAAAGTATGAAACCTAGGACAAAGCCAAAAGGCAAAGACTCACCCACCTTAAAACTTTGAAAATAAAGACTGACAGGCAGTTGCAGTTGGAACCAGTTACAGCTAATTTCAGGAATGTAACCAACGGGTTTTGTTTCCAACATACTTTTGTTCAATTTAAGAGAAGGAAAAAAAAAAAAAAAAAAAAAAAATTATGGTTCTTCCTTTAAGCCAGAAAGCATTGACCCCAACCACAGTTTATACCCATGGAATGATGAGCTCATTAATATTTTTTTGGGTCCATCATGCTTAAAGTGCTGTAAAAGCACACATTGTTACACGTTTCCTCTCTGTAAGCTGAGGTTATTTGCATTAAACAGATCACATGTGGTACCTTTTTTACTGCTCAAAATCATTTACAAGTTTGGTGTTTATAGACAGCATTGAACACTTTTTAGACAAGGAAAATACAGAAGAGAAAAAAGAAAAGGGAAAAAAAAGAATTAAATTCAACAGTAGTCCTTGTCCCTGGAGATGTGGATGTTTGTCTGCTTGAAGCTCAGTATGTAATAGTCCACTGCTTGACACTGGCGTCGTGGGAGGTGGTGACCAGAGTGTGAGCATCTATCCAAGCCAGGCCGCTAACGTGGTGCAATCGGTGAGCGTCTGCAACAAAGACATCACAGCAATTAAAAAAAAAAAAAAAAAAAAAAAGCCATCTTCAACTAAAAGAACCTGGGTTTAATAAAAGTTTAGTTTGTTTAACATCCCATACTGACTGAGATGTGAGTTACAACTCTTTAAGAAATCAAGCCTGGTTTTGCTCCTAAATTTTAAGAAGCAGATTCAACAAACTGAGTTTATAAACTTTGTAACAGTTTAGGACCATTTAATTTATTTTTACCCTCTTTTCAATGATTGCTCAGTAAACATTTAATATTAAAAAGCTTATTCCTTATTGAAAATAAGAAAAATAATGGTAACAGTCCCACTGTGTAACTGCATCCAGATTCAAACCCTAATTGCAGATCCAGTTCAGAGTCAATGCTATCTACGATGACCAGATGTCTCTTTGTGGGACTGCACAGCATTTTTATTCCTTCTCCTCATCACACATTTTCACTGGTTATGCAGGACATGCACTTTTTTTTAAAGTCTGTATTGTCTCAACGTATAAGAAGTAAAGACACCAAAAAGGCACAAGCAGTTTGTTGATAATCATCATGAAAGCTACCATAAAGAAAATGAAGTGTCTGTATATTCTGACAAGTAGTTTGTCTTTTTTGATGGATATTTTTCAGTTTTAATCTCCAAATGTGACAGGCATTTTCCATCACTGTGACTGATTACAACAGATCATTGATCAATGTGCTATGCGTCTGATTTAAACACCGATTACTACAGTAACACACAGAAAGTAGAGTTTGCAGAAAATGTGACAGAAGCCACTCAAACCATTCATTTATCTGAAGAACGTATACATGTAGAAATCACTTATTCAACAGCGAAATATTTTCGAGAATAAAATTTCCTCTGACAGTTCCCAGGAAAGTTGTTTTGGGGTTACTTAACAGCATTTGGTTTTCTAACAGCTTTTGCTGTGCCCGGCGTAAAAATCAGACCACAGCTGTAATCGTTTTTGACGGTTTTGAAAACTATGCAGGTTTGTTCAGCTGAACTGTAATCAGATGCAGTTTCTTCATGGTTCCGTGAAATGAGCCAACAGTAAATGTATAAATTTAGCTTAGCTATAGTTACTCCTAGTCTTTTTTAAAAACACGCTTAGATGTGTTGAGTGTGGATTGCTTGCGAGACAGACCTGGGATTTTGAGCCGCTGGTCTGGATCGCTAACTGTCCAGACGTAGACCAGCATGTCCATCCCACCAGTCGCAAAGTGCTCGTTATCAGGTGACCAGGCCAAAGTCACAGGTTTGGCATGGTGTCCATAAAACTCATTTTTAACCTGATGGGGGAGAAAAAAAAAAAAAAGGCAACCATAAAACAGTAATTAGTATTTAAAAAAAACAAACAAAAAAAAAAAAAAAAAAAAAAACAAACCACGTAACAGGCAGCAAACAGAAGACAGGATCATTAAGAAAGGCAAATATTTACCGAATAGCCGTCTGCCACGTTAAAGACCGTGATAACCTTCTTGTCATCAATGGCAGCCAGATAGGCGCCATCATTCGAATAGGCCATGTCTGTAATGGGCCCTTTGACCTCAAGAGCTTTCCCCTCATCTTTCAGAGTGTTGCCCTGAACTGAGTACAGATGAACTTTTCCATCCTAAGAAGAAAGAAAATGAATCCAGAGTCCAACCAAGCTTTTCTGTGATAGCTATAGTGTTTTTATTACATGGAACCAACAAACATTGAATGAATGTAAACATGTGGTGAGATTATCTGTGTCCACTTACTGCTCCGCCCACTGCAGCAGTGGTGCCGCCAGGATGCAAAGCTCCAACCTCTGCTTCATAGCCAAGATTGTCCAATGTGAAGACTTTCTTCTTATCCTTCACAAGGACAATCTACAAAGAGCCATGAATAACAATGCAGTCATTATTCCCCAAAAAAAAAAAAAAAAAATCACCAACCTTGCAAGTGCAAGAATGACTGGATCTGATTTATGCAAGCAGTAATGACTGAAGCAAAGACATTACCTGCCCAATGCACACAGCCAATGACAGCCCACCTGCCCCTACGGACACACTTTTAGGCTGGAAATCCATCTTCACCACATCAGAGGCACTAGAAACCAACAAAGAGGTTATTTATGTGAGGAGAGGAAGAAGAACAACAACCCTCTTCCTACTATGAACAATTGAACTGTAAGCATGCATTTAAAAAAAAGAAAAAAAAGGTACTTTTAGCCTTCAACCCTGTCCTTCACCTTATCAAGGACAAACTTCTGTTTAATAGACCAAATGTAAAATGATTAATAAAATGGCTTATTCATAAAGCCACATCATGGCCCCTCACCTGTACTCCTTCTTGCTGATGCTGGTGTAGCGCAGTGTATCATCCATGCTACAAGTCACCAACTCATTAGCTTCATCAGTCACGATCTTGCTAACCTGGTTGCTGTGACCTTTTCCTGAGAAGCAGTCGTTCTCTCCAGTTTCTGCATCCCAGTAATGTGAGGGATACGTTAAGGAACGTTATCTATGTCTGCAGTTATTCTATGCAAATATGAAAGTCTGAGAAATGCCTGCAAAAAACAAAACTGAAAAGTTGTTTTGTAACTTGCGTCACTATTCAAATAACAAAGCTCTCTAAAGAGTTATTCAATAGTGGTAGATGGGCCATATTTTTTATTTATGGCTTTTTTTAAGCAAACTATTAGAAAGTTCTGCTGCTTCAGGTTGTAAAAATGTAATTGTTCAATTTAAAAAGCTCAAATTTTTAACATTTTGATTTTTAAATTTTGATTAAAACTCAGCTCCTGCACAATGTGAATCAAATCTACATTGATAGAAATTAATTAAATTTGATGAATGAAAAAAGGGCATGTTACATTATCACTACAAGTGTGTAATGACCTTGTGTTAAACAGAAAAACATCAAACCTCTTTTATATTGAAAACAATTGGGCAAGATTGAGCTTACATGCAGGACAGGACGCCTACGCATGTCCCACTGAGTAACCTTTACAGTCATTAGCGACAATCAGTAAGTGTTGAAAGGATATTTATGTGTCCGTCGTGACTCCCCGAGTAGATGTACGGCCGCCCTTCATTTTTGTGAACAGTAACACACTGGATGGACTTGGTATGACCCTGTAGAAAGAATAAGCACACATTTGAATATATGGAAAGGTACACAAGACATTAACACTACAGTATTGCATCCCCACACAAATGAAAGACAGCACAGAGAACTGAAAACATTCATCTTTGTAATAGCCACAGTGCATATTTAGATGCTTCTGTGAGAAGTTTATGTAATGACTTATTTTCCTGTCTTACCTACTGAACACCACAAGTGTATGATGGATACATCAGGAAGATGTGTCACAAGACACTTCTAGCCTCCTCACACAGACACCCTCCACGTGTAAATGTTGAGCACACTGCTCTTTCATCACTAAAAACTAATCTTCCCATTTGAAAACAAAAAAAAATTTGTATGAAAACAAGCAACTCAGTAAAGCAGGATCTGCAGTGTGCATTTGCACTCTTAGGCATGCAGTTTGAACCATCGCTATGCAAATATTGATGGCGATTTACATTTAACAGATGCCAAGTTTGGTTTTCAAACACTGTAGAAAATGTTTCTACTATGACACTTTAATTTCCATTGTATTTCAGAAGCTCAAACACAGTTAAAAAACTAACAAAACTGCCATTATTATCATTATCAAATCAGTGATTCTATCCAGAAATAGCATCCTTTAATTCTTGGGGCTGACCTTGATTGTGCGTATGGGCCGGTTGGGGTTGTTCTTGTCCAAGTAGTTGATGTATCCTGACAAGGAGATGCTGAGGAGGTGGTCTTTCTGCCACAGGCACCCCAGCTGCTGGTCTGTCACGTCGGAGCCCAGGTTGAAGGTGGTGACAGCCGTGGTTGCACCGACATCCCAGAGCTTCACGGTCTTGTCCCCTGAGGCAGAGATCAGTTGAGAGCTGTCAGGGCTCCAGCTGACCTGTGGGCGAAAAAAAACCCCAGAAACGTAGTATGTCAGAATGCATGTGAGCAAAGACAGAAATTTTGTAAGCACCGTTTGTGCAACCTATGAATGGGCATTAAACAATAGAAGAAAACACACCAACACTACGTGGAAAAGAAATCAAAGAAAAATGAGAAAAGATTAGTAACTCGAGGACAGAAGGGTTTATAGCATGCATAATTCCTATTGGCACATAATTCCTCTAGGCAGACTGCCAAATCTGATTATAGTTGGCTCTCCGGAACAACAAAAGCCATTCATTTAACAAAGTGACTGTAAGTTAACACTGTAGCAAAGAGGTAAAACACTAGGATTGATCCTTTAAACAAGGCAGACTGTTAATGTACCTATCCATATTATTCACTGGAGTTTGGTTTTTAACCTAAAAAAGACTTACAGCATAGATTCCTCCTTTGTGAGCCTTCTCTCCACCAAGGGAGCCAACACGTTCACCAGTTGTTCCATCATAGATTAAAATCTGTGGATATTTAATAAAAACAATTAGGTACACATTTTGCTTAAAGTCATTTTAATTTTAAGTTTCACATGATAACGGACACTTACCTGACCATCAGCACCCGCTGTAACAAACCGACTTCCATCTGGAGAGAAACGAATGCAGTTGACGAACTGGCTGTGGTCCTTTGGGTGGAAAAAAATTAAAAAGAAATCAACATAGAAGTTAGCTTTATGGATCAAATGAGTGTTTGATTTTGACACATAATATTTGGTCTTGTGCATAAATGGAAACCAAACATTGAAAGTAGATCCAGTATTTTCAATAGTCATAGTGTAGATTTAACATAGTCTCAAACAAGTGAGGAAGGAAGAAGCAAAAAATTTAAAAAAAAAAAAAAAAAAAAAAAAAAAAAAAAAGACTGCTTAGTCATCTTCATGACCGACAGAAACTCAGTCCTTCCTCAATTGAGACCATCATGACCGACCAGTATGCAGGCTTAAAGAAAACAAATGTTTCCTTGATTTTCCTTTAAGCATGTGTTATAGGCAAATTTGAGAATTTAAATTTACCTATGACACAAATAGCACAAGGTTCATGTGGAGAGCAAAGACATGGGATCAATAGCTGTGATTACAATTCTTGTTTTGTTTTAATTTAATAACACCCCACTAATAAGCCAATAATGCAATTCTTAAAGGGAATACAAGGTGTAATTTACTTTAAAATTTAACAAATATATCCACCGTTTTATGTACCTTGACCAACTGGATTTTATATTAACTTCAAATAAATTAGTCTGCAGTACACTTTGTGCCTGGTTGTAGGAAGCAGCTCACACTCTCGAAGAATTTATGGGGATGTGGATTATGTAATATGGAAACAGGCAAACAAGGCCACATTGTCAAAACCCAACAGAGTGTGGCAGATTTGAGATGGCCAACAGATATTAAAGCCAGAGAAAGTTGGAAAGCTGCAATGCTTTGTTACCAGTGCATGTCAAAGACAACATTTAGCCATTGGCTGTTCTGACCACTTTAATCCAGCACATGTCAGCAGATCATCTTTTCTCTAAGACTTGTCCAGCAAAACAACAGCCAAGAAAAAAAAAAAGAAAAAACAAACAATCCAGCTTAGCTCTAATCACTCTGGAACAAACACCTCTTTACTAAAGCTCCTCAAATTGCCAACAAATGCAACTCACCCGTAATGTGAACTTGAACTTGAAGGGAGGTCCCTCAAAGAAGGAGGCACAGGTGTCGTCACTGGCAGTGGCAAGGCGGTAAGGGCGCTTCTGCCTTATGTCTACACTGTTAATTAATTTTGAGTGGCCAGAAACCTCTCCCACTGATGAGCCAGAGTCCCACAGGAACACTGCCCCAAACCTACAATGACAAGTGAACACCGATACAGTTGATCCAGGTTTGAATTAGAGGAAGAAAGATACGTGCTAGAAGGTTTCGATTTCCTGCACAATAGTGATGCAAACAGTTCTTTTTATAATAAAAACAATAAATAAATAACATTGGTCCTGCAAGTGCACAAACATATCACCTTGATATCTAAAGCAAACAGTGAGTTTGTGCCACGTGGGAATAAATCAGTGTGAACGCTGTAAGAGAAGTTTCTCATGAGACAGTTACCATGGTTGATTTTAAACTACGAATCAATTTGTAGCCAGTGTAGCGCCAAAAGAAAAGAAAAAAATAAAAAAAATAAAAAAAAATCCTGACACTCACTTCTCTCGTCCGTCCCCAACAACAGCAAGCCTCTTGCTGTCCTCGGTCCATGCAATGTCCTTCACCTTCCCTGAAATCGGGGTGTACTCATACTTGAGCATGTGTTCCTTCTGGGTGGTGTCCCAGATACGGATCTTTCCTGATGCATCTAACGGATATAAAAGCAACATGATTACATAGCAGTCACATTATTGTGGCAACTATGAGAATACACAGTTTTACCAGGATTTTTGCAGTGGCTACTGATAAAAAATGTGACTTGACCTTCATTATGGTCCAAATTCTACACAAAATCTGACAAATCCATTTAAAAACATGTTTTAATTTAGCACAACTTCTTAACCCTTTAAGACCTACCATAGAACCAAGTTCGCCAGAGCTTATATTATATTTTTACATGCTGTGGAGCCATTTTTGGGAGCATTTCAAGTTGCTATACATCAATACAACCATTATAGCCCAAACTTTAATAATATGTCTGCATTAGGTGCATAGTAATTACATAAATTGCAAAAAAGTGCTATAAACTACAAAAAAATTGAAAATCGTTTTTGTTTTTTTAACATATATTTCTAGTTAGAGAAATTTAAGAGGCTTATCCCTCAAAACTGTAAATACAAAAAAGTTACAAACTAGTTTCCCACCACAGGAAATTTATTTTGAGTGTCTTCATAGTTTTATTTTTGAAATACACCAATTTTTATACACTGCAGGAAAAACTAAAATAAATATTATAGTGCAAATTTGCAAAATAACAGCATATGCATCAAAATAAACTATTTCCAGCAGTGCAATATGAGTCTTAAGCATCCCAGAAACGACACAGAAAGTCATAAAGTCAAACATAACTTTTTAAAACACATAACAAGTAAAACACAAGCTCATAAGGCCCCGATCGTAAAAAAACTACATTTCCGCAAAATGACGTCACTTCCGGTTTCGGGCAGGTCATGCGATAGTTCGCGCTGATGGACGTAGGAAGTGTTACAAACAGCTGATGGATCGGCGAAGCGTGTTTCTGGAATATCATGTTTTTGTTGCTGCAAGTGATTTTTTATGCAGTTTTTGCAAAGCTATATGTGGAAGGAAACTGTGACCTAGGACAAGCTGATGGCATAAGATGTAAGTACAACTCCTCCAGTTTCATATGCAAAAAAAATTATTGCGCTAGCTTACTTGGTTGCAGAGCTACCGGGATTTAAAAATAGTTACGCAAAACAGAGCGTGCCCGCTCCGATCGGCTGTAAAGGGTTAAGTAATAACTCACAATGCAAGCTGGAAAAAGTAAATAAAAGTCAATTAACATCATCAAAACCTACTTGGACTCAGATATTTCAGTTAAAACCTTGTCCCTAAATGTCCACAAATCACAATCTACTCTTCCTAGGAAAAACTGGTTCACGTGCATTGTGCCGTAACAGCAATTTTCATAGGAACTTAGCAAGGAGCATTACAAAAGTGCATGAAATTAGAGGAGATATGCACAATCTGCAGTTTGACAGGATATCAGGATTGTTGCTAGACTGTTGGGAGTGAAGATTCTAGAAAGACTACAATATTCATTCAATAAAGTGTAAAAGAACCCAAGGGCAAGGGCAGAACACCATTACAAGAAACAACAAACCACACAAAGCTTACAGTGGGGCAAAAAAGTATTTAGTCAGCCACCGATTGTGCAAGTTCCCCCACTTAAAATGATGACAGAGGTCAGTAATTTGCACCAGAGGTACACTTCAACTGTGAGAGACAGAATGTGAAAAAAGAATCCATGAATTCACATGGTAGGATTTGTAAAGAATTTATTCGTAAATCAGGGTGGAAAATAAGTATTTGGTCACCTCAAACAAGGAAAATCTCTGGCTCTCACAGACCTGTAACGTCTTCTGTAAGAAGCTTTTCTGTCCCCCACTCGTTACCTGTATGAATGGCACCTGTTTGAACTCATCATCTGTATAAAAGACACCTGTCCACAGCCTCAAACAGTCAGACTCCAAACGCCGCCATGGCCAAGACCAAAGAGCTTTCGAAGGACACCAGGAAAAGTATTGTAGACCTGCACCAGACTGGGAAGAGTGAATCTACAATAGGCAAGCAGCTTGGTGTGAAAAAATCAACTGTGGGAGCAATCATCAGAAAATGGAAGACATACAAGACCACTGATAATCTCCCTCGATCTGGGACTCCACGCAAGATCTCATCCCGTGGGGTCAAAATGATCATGAGAACGGTGAGCAAAGATCCCAGAACCACACGGGGGGACCTGGTGAATGACCTGCAGAGAGCTGGGACCAAAGTAACAAAGGTCACCATCAGTAACACACTACAACGGCAGGGAATCAAATCCCGCAGTGCCAGACGTGTTCCGCTGCTGAAGCCAGTGCATGTCCAGGCCCGTCTGAAGTTTGCCAGAGAGCACATGGATGATACAGCAGAGGATTGGGAGAACGTCATGTGGTCAGATGAAACCAAAGTAGAACTTTTTGGTATAAACTCAACTCGTCGTGTTTGGAGGAAGAAGAATACTGAGTTGCATCCCAAGAACACCATACCTACTGTGAAGCATGGGGGTGGAAACATCATGCTATGGGGCTGTTTTTCTGCCAAGGGGACAGGACGACTGATCCGTGTTAAGGACAGAATGAATGGGGCCATGTATCGTGAGATTTTGAGCCAAAACCACCTTCCATCAGTGAGAACTTTGAAGATGAAACGAGGCTGGGTCTTCCAACATGACAATGATCCAAAACACACCGCCCGGGCAACAAAGGAGTGGATCCGTAAGAAGCATTTGAAAGTCCTGGAGTGGCCTAGCCAGTCTCCAGACCTCAACCCCATAGAAAATCTGTGGCGGGAGTTGAAAGTCCGTGTTGCTCGGCGACAGCCCCAAAACATCACTGCTCTCGAGAAGATCTGCATGGAGGAATGGGCCAAAATACCAGCTACTGTGTGTGCAAACCTGGTAAAGACCTATAGTAAACGTTTGACCTCTGTTATTGCCAACAAAGGTTATGTTACAAAGTATTGAGTTGTATTTTTGTTATTGACCAAATACTTATTTTCCACCCTGATTTACGAATAAATTCTTTACAAATCCTACCATGTGGATTCATGGATTTTTTTTTCACATTCTGTCTCTCACAGTTGAAGTGTACCTCTGGTGCAAATTACTGACCTCTGTCATCATTTTAGGTGGGGGAACTTGCACAATCGGTGGCTGACTAAATACTTTTTTGCCCCACTGTAGATGTTCAGTAACACTACTGGGATAACATTTTGATGCCAAAAAGACAAAAATTGAGCTTGTTTGCAAAAATGGTCCAAGCCCCGAGTCGGCAGAAGGAGTCCAGTTTTTTTCTGCATGCACTGCGAGTGGTTACTGAGTGTCAGAAGCACAGCAGTTTGTTTTTTGTTTACTCTAATGGTGTTCATCCCTAATTATGTTTTAGATAAAAATCAGTAAATTCCAGTAGGTTTACAAACTCTTTCTTGCAAATGTTCAAATGTATTTTTCTCTTTTACCTCCAGATGCAATGTAGAATCCACTGGGTGCATACTTCGCAACAGTAACTTGATGGGCATGCTCAGTGTAAATGTCTGCAATAGCTGGGTTCTTAAAAAAAACGAAAAAAAAACAAAACACAAAAATGGAAAGATTAGCTAGATTAGCTCAGAAATTGCAAATAAATGATGAGCATTTTTCCAATTGGTCACTTAAACCCAAACATCTAATCAACAATTAGTGTTGGCAAAGAAAAAATAAATTTTGGTAAACACTGGTAAACCACAAGCTGAAATCCTTTCCTGAGCTACTTCTAGATTAGGTGCTAACTGACAGCATTATGCTAACAGTAATTGTGCCAGCATGCAACTCAGATTTCAGAGAATATCAAGGGCACAATACTGAACACGCCCAAAAATACTGGGTGTAGCAGGAGGGCAACAAACAAAACCACCCACTAGTAGAGTGAAATGCTGTCTTTGATGTGGCTGCTAGCTTTTGATGCTGTACATTTTTATGTGGTCATTACTCTCATTCAGTAGATTCTGTCATAGCCAGTAGATTTGTAAATACAAATGAATAAAATAATCAGCATCATGTTGATACAACTTTAAGACTTTTTTTTTTTTAATTACTTCAATGTTCCTGATGATGACACATTTCCCATTGGTGTAGAGGAAGTTGTTGCCTTTGGGATCACCACCGATCACTTTTGCAACTCCCCTCTCCATCTGTGGGAGACTGGCAAACACACGTTCTGAAAAAAGTGAAAATAATAAAATCAAAGATGTGGAAAACATCAATTAATGCACTGCAGACAGGGTTAAACACAAATAGAAAAAGTGTTTCACTGCATATCCTTTATCTGCTGGGAATAAAATCTGCCATTTCAGATAGCAGATTTTATTATTAACAGAAGTGTTCTATATCAACTAGTCGTTCATTAGTCATCCATAGGACTTAAAGTGGAGCTGGTTTCAGGTACCTTACTGATTATCACAGACACTTTGAGCACACGGCCAAGTCTATTCCTATTGTTCTACCAAGCAGTTTCACCCTCCTTATTAAATTCCCTGAACGCAAAGCGTTTTACACTTCAACCTTTAAGGAGTAACAAAAATAAAACATAACTAGATTAAGTTCTTCGGTGCACTTCCTCAAAATTTGGGCCATCATTTTTGACGCCAACTATGTTAGAAAACCAGTAAAAGACAAGTCTGGATTTGTTGCTGATCATTACATGGGTGAATTTTCTACTTTGTAAATTACTAAAGAAAAAAAAATACAAGTAACTGCTTGTAATTGAAGTATTTGCTTTTGTTTAGTTACACATTTTTTAAGTACAGAGTATCCATTTAGTAAGGTTTATGTTGATGAGTCTTGTTTTATTATAATAATAATAATAATAATAATAATAATAAGTGTACCGATTTTTATATAATTGCACAAATTATACAGCAATTTCAAATATTAGTATTTAAAATGTTTTATTATAGTTCTATTATAAATTTACCAACACTTTGCTTGCCATAATTTTTACATACCATTGTAATAAACTAAACGAGATATACACTCAGGTCAAAATGCACTAGCACACTTTTGCTTGCTCATAATGGTTTTTGAATACATCACGAGTCAATCCTGCCTTATGCAGTAACTACACGGTTGTAACTTGAATGTGCCTTGAAAGACCAAAAATAAATAAATAAATCACTGCCATGTTTTCGCCATTTATATTTCCGACTGATTCAATGAGAAAAAAAAAAAATGTAGCGTTAAATATGTTAGGACATTCGACCAGCGACAAATGTGTACTTCAGTACTTCCTCGGTGCTTCACTGGCAGACAGCCTCTGTGTGGACATGTCATAACAAAGCAATGGGAGCACAACTATTTCCTGACTGAGGCTAGCAACCTAGCTAACTAAAAAGCCACTGCCTGTGGCATGAAGCGGCTGCACTGAGTGCCAAAACATCTGCACAACACTCCGAGCTATCCAAACACAGGTGTGTACTACACCTGCCAGAATCGTTGCATGAGCGAAGCTTTTTTTGGTCTTTCTTGTGTGGGGTGAAGTGTCAAAATTACGCAGCTATGGGCGAGGCTAGCTAGCTGCTACCTGGATGACTAGCAGATCTGACGACTAGTGTCACGCGAAGTAAGAGCCTTGTTCCTGTTTTTCCCGCCCTGCTGCTGACACAGAAATGAGACAGACTTACTCAGTTCATACGGCATTTTTTCTCCGCTGCCTCTGGCTTGGCTTTTCTCTTCCAGATGAATGAAACAGTGAAGACAGAAAAGCGCCCGTGGCTTTGCACTACCCTCCCTGATACACAAACACGGAAGCGGGTGCAGCTCTCGCTCTGCCTGGCTTTGCCCATATATAGTAAACTCAGATACCACGCTGAGGCTGTCAGCCAGTAACCGTGCGCTCGAGCTTTGGGGATAAATTCTACCTAAATATGGTCTCTCAGGTTCCAGGGCCAATCTAAAGCCATTCCAAAGCTTCACTAATCAAAATGGCCAGGTTTGCCTCATTTTGAGGCATATCATGTGCTACAGCCAGGTCACAGAGTCTTTTTTAATTTTTAAAAAGATAAACATATAGAAACAACATTTCTAATTCCTCAAAGAATGTTACCCTGTTAGTAAATATATATAATCCAGGAATCTATTTCTAGATGAATGTGTCATCTAGAAATAGAGTTAAAACTAAAATAAGGAGGTGAGTTTTGCGCAATCATTTGATTGCCTGAGAGGCCTGACTCAGGGTAGTAAAGCTCGCTGTCTGAGACGCACTCCTTTGGGCGCCGTGGATTTGTGATAGCATGAGTAACCAAATGAATTGCCCGGAAAGGTAAATGAAGAAAATCTATCTACAGTCACTTGTAACCTGTCCCTTATCTGTAATTCCATAGTGGTGATGTTATAAGCCTGTGCTTATTATTTGCATGAGTGTAGGCACTCACTTGCTTGGAATAGGACTGGGAATCCCCTGACCTATTTATGATGGGTCCATTTGAGAGTGTGGACCTCTGCAGGCTGGGAGGTCAGTTCCATAATCATAATTGTGCAAATTCTCATGACCATTGATCAACAACCACTGACCAAAACCCACTGATCAAAACCCACTGATCAATGGCCACGAGTACCATTCACAGAGAGTTGGGGAATGGCTGCAATCACAGCATTGTAAGATGGCGAAAGATGTACCCTTAGGCCCCCTCCTCGATTCAGAGATGGTCTTTCCCTTTTCACGTAAATGGCCTCCTTGACTCCGCGCTCAAACCAGCATTCCTCCCTGTCCAGGATTTGTACATCCTTATCATTGAAAGAGTGTCCACTGGCCTGTAGGTGTAAATAGACTGCAGAGTCCTGGCGAGGTAGCTCTTCTGTGTTGTGCCGTCCGCTTCGCCAGAGGTTGTTTGGTTTCCCCGATGTATAAATTCTGGCAATCCTCCTGGCACTTAACAGCGTACACTATGTTACTCTGTGTCGGGGGACACACATCCTTGGGGTGGACCAATTTTTGGCGCAGCTTGTTTTGGGGTTTAAAAGCCACAGAGACTCGGTGTTTAGAAAAAATGCGTCTCAACTGTTCCGATACTCCTGATACATAAGGGATCACTACAGGTTTTCGCTTGGGCAGCGGTTGTCCTTCTCTCCTGGATCGGCTGGAGCTTTCTTTAGGTGCCTTTCCAGCTTTGACAAAAGTCCAGCTGGGATAACCACATTTACTCAGGGCCTTCTTGATGTGCTGTTCTTCTGCCTCCCTGGCCGCTGTGTCTGTGGGGATGGTGTTCGCTCTGTGTTGTAGCGTCCTGATGACACCCAGTTTGTGCTCCAGTGGATGATGAGAGTCAAACCTTAGATACTGCTCCGTATGTGTAGGTTTACGGTACACGTCAGCTTTTAGATGACATCTCTCACCTTCTCAACAAAATCCAGGGTGTTCTGGATGTGGTGTTCAGAGCTGCCTACCAACGGGTTGAAGATCGAAGCCAGAAACTTGGAGATGTTATAGGTGACAGAGTTGATCATGCAGACAATCGGTCTTAAAGGTGCACCCTGTTTATGTATTTACACCTACAGGCCAGTGGACACTCTTTCAATGATAAGGATGTACAAATCCTGGACAGGGAGGAACGCTGGTTTGAGCGCGGAGTCAAGGAGGCCATTTACGTGAAAAGGGAAAGACCATCTCTGAATCAAGGAGGGGGCCTAAGGGTACATCTTTCGCCATCTTACAATGCTGTGATTGCAGCCATTCCCCAACTCTCTGTGAATGGTACTCATGGCCATTGATCAGTGGGTTTTGGTCAGTGGTTGTTGATCAATGGTCATGAGAATTTGCATAATTATGATTAAGGAACTGACCTCCCAGCCATTGTTGGTTTCAGTCATTATGCAAATGTACTGTTTATAAGGTTGGGGAAACTTGCAGTCAGCTTAGACTGAAGAAGTCACTTGGATGAGTGACGAAACATTTCTCCCACAAAACGCTACGTCCAGATGAACAGAATCAACTTTTGGAGAACTCATCTGTGTAATTTTGGTCTGAGCATATGATGTGTCCTCTCCCAGGACATTTTAATCAACACACAAATCCTTTATTGCATTCTGGTGATGTTTCTTTTTAATAATGAGAGGGTCATGTTGAGGGCCCCAAGCTCCAACTCAACTCAATGACAGCTCTGTCAGGATCACCTTAATTGAGGGGGTCGTTCAAGTTCAAATTCTGTTTGAAATGTTTTTTCTAACGCTCTGTTTTGTTTTGTTTTCTGTTTTCTGCTAATTTCATTTATTTATTTATGTATTTATTTCAGACTGGCAATGTGATAGCACTGTGACATGTAAGGTGAGAACCAGGTTTGAGTACCATCTGGTTTATGGAAATTGGTCTCCCCGTGGAGTAAGCGGTAGTTTTACGTTCTTCCCTGCAGGTGGCGCCATTGTCCCATTATTACCCCTCCACCACAGAAGAAGTAGCCCAGTTGCTTCGTGCCTGTGACGATGGCGGTCGTCTTGAGGGGAAGTTTAGTAACGTTGTTCAAGGTGAGAGCACAAATTATGTTGACGGGCTTTTTGTGTAAATAGAAAAAAAATGGCTGCTTTAGTCATATTTCATATAAACGCAGCAAAGAGACGTTTACGCACTGAGTGTTGTCATGTGTTTCTTACGTGAATGCTAACCATCGTGAGCTTCGTGGACGTCTGCATTACTGATAGAACGATTCTGAAGTGTGTTTCCGTATCTGGAATTATTTTGCTGGACATAGTTCTCGGTTTGTTTTATTTGTCAGTAGATACGCGCCTTAATAAGACATCCTCGTTAATTGAGAAGGTCAGCTAAATTAGCTTAGCCTCCCAGCCTGTGTCAGTTAACCATGTCAGTAACCTCCCTGTCCTTAGTGAACCGTTAGCTACTGCTACTCGTGGGGCTAATCACAAGCTTAGAGACTTGAAGCGAGCAACTCAGACAAGGTTTAGTTTTCAGTCAGATTTCTAGGTGTCAGTAAGAGTGCAAATATATTCAGTGTCTTACTTTAACTTGTAAGATTGCAGAGTTGGCCTTTTAACTTGTTGCCTACAGGTAAGATGCGGGTGAGGGTGATAATCATTCAGGATCACCTTGAAATATACAAACCGGTGACAAAATAAATGAAGAGGACGACAACATAAAGTCTCTTATTAATAGATGCTGGGGCAACACCAGGACAGTTTTACCATGCATTGCTACTGATTCCTAAAGTCTCAGGAACTCTTCCTGGATGGAAAACCACTTTTTCCCCATTGTGGTCGCGCAGAGTGCTGTTTTACCCGTCGATCCAAAACCTCCCTTAGGGTTTTCAGCTGTTGACTGACCATTATTCTCAACGACAATTTTTCATACCACTAAGTAATAAATTTCTCATAGATCTAAATGCAGATGTAACTCTTCCCATTGAAACATTAGTACTAGCCAGTACAGAGCCAGTAAAAAAAATGTCTTTAGCACAGTGCGAAGCTTGTGTCACAGGGATTATTTATACATATACTGACTTGATTATTTGGACAGATGTAATCTGTGGATCAACTATGACTCCAAGAAGAAAGCTCCTCCCCATTCTTTTTGTCTTGGTGGTCAGCAGACAGTAACATCTTCTGATGTTGTAGTGTACTAGTTAACACAATTCACCTAACAAGCCAAAGATTCCGTCAGGAAGGGCATCTGACCTAAAAATCCGTTGAGCTACCCATTGTTGCATGAAAGTTGCTGCTGCTGCTTCTGATTTGCTGATCGAAGCATAAATTCCCATTAACAGTATATGGATGGCAGAAAATAAGGATGGCATAACCTGGCTTGTTTGAGACCGATTCGCCTGCCATCTTTGCTCAAACAATGATCTACAAAGACTTCATCTTTCAAAGTCACCAACACCTTTTCTTATTGCCATTTTCTATTAATACAGAATCACCTGGGCCTGCTTAAAATATTCATATATGCCTCCAAACCTGATTGGAGTTGTGTTATATAGTGCACCTGTGTGGAAACATCTGCATTTGTTGTTTCTTTATTTACGCAGATTTTTTTTTCTCATTTATTTGTCTGTGTGTATTTACTCAAAATCCCCTACTGACATCTTCCCTTATAAAATGCATCTAGGCATCATCCTGAATAGCAATATGCATGAAATTACTATAATATTAGGTGAAATGTAATTTATAATATTATATACAGTGTTGTACCCTCATTCTCTCTTTCTGACTAAAACATGCTTCTCATAAAGTTGGGCTCACGTCATGACATGATGAAATGAGTGAAATAGGAAAAGACATTCCTGCTACACAAAGTTGTTCTCACTTGGTGTTTTTTCTAACAAATGTCTGAACACAGGTGCATTCCCCCAACATTGTTTTATTCCGATAATTTCTAAATGTCTTTATGTTTCAAAATCTTGAACAGATTTTTGTATATACACACTGGGGGGGGGGAGGTCAGAAGCTGTAACAAGCAAACATTGAATGTAACAGATGTAGACAAGTGATTCTGGTGTTGCTTGTTATCAAAAAAGTTCTTTTTGACCAATTGGACACTAACAGACCTCTGACCAATGATCAATGACCAATAATAGTCTTGTTTCAAGTAGGCTAGCTGCTCTATTAACTTCTCTTAGGTCCTAAAAAGTTACCACAAAATGTATAATGTAGGTGCACTGTTTGGTATATGTGCAAATTATATATATATATGTAGTATATCTGTCTCGATATTAGGGTTTTCAATGTGTTGATAAGTAATACTATTAGAGAGTAGATATATGGGTTTATAGTATACTGCAGTGTTCTTTGTAATACTGTACCTAGTAAGTGTACCTTTGTTTCCCTCCTTCAGGGCCTGGTCGGTTCCAGGTGTCCACAGTTGGCCTCTCGTCCACTGAGTGTATCTGCTGGTCTCTGTAGTCCAGAAACACCACCGGCCCGTGCTGATGCTACCTTTAAAGTCACAATGGTGCCAGGGGATGGAGTAGGACCTGAACTAATGACTGCTGTAAAGGAAGTTTTTAAGGTACATTTACATAAGATTGACGATGGACTCATAACTGCTTTTTATCCTTATACCAAACATGTTGTCTTCAGTATATCAGGTTTACTGATGATAGAAAATAATAGGGAACTTTTGACAAAAAATACATGTACAGATTTTTTTTTCTCTGTCTGGTCTGATTTTTTACATTTTTCTTATATTAAATGTTAAGAAGCTCCTTTTTCATCTCGTTGTGTTTTACAAATAATCTCCTTGCTTTACTTTTTCTAAGAAATCATTTTAAATATGGTGCTTAATGTTAAAGTAAAATAGTGCATTAAAACTGAGTAAGATTGTCATTCTTTATGTTGATTTGTGATTTTTTTTTTTAAGAATGATTTTTTTTTCTCCCCATTTTTCTGAAGGCAGGTGATGTCCCAGTAGAATTTGAGGAATTCCACATGAGTGAAGTGCAGAACATGGCCAGCGAGGAAAAACTGGAACAAGTGTTGACCTCTATGAAGAGCAACAGAGTTGCCATTAAAGGTAGTCTTATTTCCTTTAATTCTTTGATTTTTCTCTCACAAAAAAATTGAATCCAATAACAAAAAGCTGATTTAAATGGCTGCACTGAAGTAGTCTGAACTGCAGTGTATTTAGGCTTTAACATGTTGGGGCACGTTACCTTATTTAGGAAAGATTCACACACCCATGGAATTCAAAGGCGAGCTGGCTTCATATGAGATGAGATTAAGGTAAATGATCAAATAAAAAATTGTGTGTTATTATTTGCATATGTCACGTTTAAAAATAACTCTACATCCGTCCACTCCCCAGGCGCAAGCTGGACCTGTTTGCTAATGTAGTTCATGTAAACAGCCTGCCAGGCTACAGCACTCGTCACAACAACCTGGACCTAGTCATCATCCGTGAGCAGACTGAGGGGGAGTACAGCTCCCTAGAGCATGAGGTAAACAGTACTCTTACTCACTGCAATCAGAGCGTAAACAGCAGTTTTACACCCACCTGCAAACACACTGGAAGGTTTGTTTAAGGGTTTTGAAAGAAGCCTTAAACTGGGCATCAGAATATAGTTAAGTCACAGAAATACAGATTAAGCCAGATTTTGATTTGTCCTTTACTTATATTGAGGTTCTTTAACTCTCCTATTTATTCATTTTAATATGAAACCTAGTTTACAGCATGATTATTTACACTTAGACCTCAAAGACTGTCTACAGTCAGGTTATGTGGGAGATTGTTGTTTATAGAACATAATGTATGTGTTCATTTTCTTGCATGATTCTTCGGCAAAATATATTTAACCATATGTTGTCATCCTCTTGTGTTTTCCAGAGTGTAACAGGTGTGATTGAATGTCTGAAGATCATCACCAGAAAGAAGTCACGCCGCATCGCCAAGTTTGCCTTTGACTATGCTACCAAGAAAGGGCGAAACAAGGTCACTGCTGTTCACAAAGCTAACATCATGTGGGTAATTTTTTTTTTCTTTTAAAGGCAGCTTTGTCTTTGTTATTGTCTTATTTTGAAACCATGTACCTCCATTAAGGCTAAAAATTAGCATTACAGTAACTCCTGTCCTCGTATCTTATTTCAGGAAACTCGGTGATGGCCTGTTTCTGCAGAGCTGTGCAGAGGTGGCACAGCTGTACCCCAAAATCAAATATGAGAACATCATCATTGATAACTGTTGTATGCAGGTATAAACAGACTTGCAGTTCCTTCCCTTTGCCTTATTATTATTGTTCTTATTATCCATTACCATTCAGATTAAATAAGTGAATGCTGTCTTTTATTCCTAATTGTATATTTATAACTTAGCGTTTGCTAGAAGTGCTCCATTAAAAAAAAATAGAATAACTGAAGACGTGCACTTTGATTTCACTGCAGTAAATGACCATAGCTGAGCACCGCTGATTCAGGCTTAAATTTGTCATTGTATTATTCTTCTGCAGCTGGTGCAAAACCCTTACCAGTTTGACGTGCTGGTGATGCCTAACCTGTACGGTAACATTATTGACAATCTAGCAGCAGGGTTGGTTGGAGGAGCAGGAGTTGTTCCTGGGGAAAGCTACAGTGCAGAATATGCTGTTTTTGAGACTGTGAGTTTCCAAAACCTCTCGCTTGTTTGTCTTTTTGTTTTGTTTTTTTCCTTGTCCTGATTTTACTTAAAAGCCTATACTTTCCCTTTTTGTATTACTGTATTATTATTGTTTTTCTCTGAACAAAACAGTGGTGTTTACAGCATGACGAACGGTAAAAACTGCGTTTTCTACAGACAACTGTAGCAAACACTTTGTCAGTGGAAAAAAGAAAAAATACCCCTTCCCTATTGGTGTTAGAGTTTACCATGTCAGCCAATCAAAAAAATGAAAAGGCAACATGTGACATTTGGTTGTTTAGGGAGAAGGGGAAGTTTTTAGGAGTGACACCGGAGACGGAAAGTGGGCGAGCGAAAGACAGAGAGAGCGAGTTTTCATATGTGAGACATTAGTGACGTTTAGCGTGTTTGGAGGCTGTAGTTAGTGTGCTGTGTAGTTATTGTTTTTTATTATGTGTCAGTTAGACTGCTGAATTTTATATTTGCTCTAAAAAAGCCGTCAAAGGCAGATTCCAGTGTAAACGCTGTTCCCACATGGAAAACTGGACTGATGCACCTCCTGCTGTCAGACCTGCAGGGTTTAGGCCTTTGGTGTTCTCCTCTGTCTTATACTGAACACAAACTACATTTTTTGGACTGGCACAAATAATTTGTGTGTCTTCTTATTTGATGCAGAACACCTGATCGTTCTGTAAATAGACTTAAATGGTTATATAAAAAACGTCTGAGGCCTTGGCTGCATTTTTAGGTAAATAGTACCATATAACTTTGTTGTTTGCAAAACTTGTGCATAATTTTTAGAAATGTACAATTTCTATTTGCATTTCAAGTTAAGAAAATGATTCATTAAACATGTTTGTGGGTTTTACAGTAAAAAATATAACTTTTCTACTCGGATTTTGAATTTTTTTGTCTGAATTTAGATCCACTGTGCTAATATAGTATACCAAAATGAAAAAAATAACTCAAATTTCAGATATTTGAGGTTGTGCTGAAAATAATGATACCAAACAAGGCAAGAAAAACACATTTTAAAGGTGAAATATAGAGGTAAAATCAAAAGTAGTCAAAAACGGCCAATTATACCCTGGACCCCAGAGGGTTAATGGACTGTTGGTTTCTCTGCCCAGATCCTTATACTGCAGTTTTTCATTTCTCGTATCATTTTTTTCTTTTTCAGGGTGCACGCCACCCATTTGCACAAGCTGTTGGAAGGAACATTGCAAACCCCACAGCCATGCTGCTCAGTGCTGCTAACATGCTCAGGCACCTCAAGTGAGTCACCTTCTACATGTTTTTTCATAATGAGTATATCAAATTTTACACAATAGCCTCAAATTGTCTGTCCTAACCCAATATAATCATCAAGATCTTAAACAACCTCAGGCAGCTCTGTTTGTCTGAATGCAGACATGTGTCTGGTCACCTGTTCATTGTGATTATATTGTGTTGCAGTCTGGAATACCATTCTCAAATGGTGTCAGATGCTGTCAAGAGGGTCATAAAACAGGGCAAGGTAAGTGTTAGCTCTGCCCAGTCTGTGCTGCATGCAGGCTTTGAATGATAAGACCACCACTATGGTATATAAATCCAGAAGCATTAACATTATTAACACCAAAAGAGCTGCTTTTTCTGTATGTTTTACTTCCACTTTTTCAGTACCTCTAACAGAGTAAAATAACAGCTGATAGCTCTGCAATATGTGGGCAAATAAAGTCAGACTTGTATATTCTAAATCTGTGATCTTGGTATTGTGGGTCAATAACTGCTGTCTTTGTGTACACAAAGTCTCAAAGAGAACCTCTAAAGAAAATGGTGATAGAAACGTAATGTAAATCATTGATTACATTACACTTGCCTTAGATGAGCTTGCCTTAGAGCTCTGCCTTGCAGTCTAAGGCCAACAACATCATCTTAAATCTCAGTAGTTCTTGGCCTACAAATAACTCATCCTAACTGTTTGTATACTATACCATAGTGTGTTAAAGAGCCTTTGAATTCCTACTTTTAAGTCACTCTTAGCTCCTCTCTTTCAGTGCCTTCCTTGCTTAATTTTGTCCCTCTTTTACATGTTCAGGATTGTATGGGTTTGTTAACAAAATTATGTCGTAAATTCCTTTTTAAACTATTTTGGACTAAAAAGCTGCATCTGCTCTGTACTGAAACTAACATGCACTGACACAAACATGCACATGAAGGTGGTCAGACTTTGTCCCCTAGATGATGATAATAAACACCAGCTTGCAGGGTAGTTTATCATTAAAGTATTATTATTTTTATTATTACACTGTCTGAATGCTCATTTTCTCCCATCTGCTTTAATTTCCTCCACCTCCTTGTACCCCATTGCCATCTGTTTGTGTGTGTATACATTTGTGTGTTTGTGCAAATTCCAGGTACGGACACGAGACCTTGGCGGATACTGTACCACTACCGATTTTGTGCATGCTGTTGTGGAAAACCTGCGTCACCGACCCATTTACTAAGATATTTCATCATAGACCTCGCTGACTGACTCCTTTTTCCCTAAATCTGGACGTTGTTCTTAACATGGTCTGGATGCATGTTAAGACACCCTCCCCACCCACCCACCCCAAATGCCAGCTCACTGAGAGCTGTACTATACATTTCTGACATAAGTTGCATCATAATGACATTAGTTCTGCTGGCTTGCTTGTAGATCCTCTTCCGTTAAGCTTTGACATCTGTTGATTTGGGATTAAAAAGTATACCTCATGATGTTTTGCATCACACAGCTAGACCTCCTGTTTCCTGTATTCATGCAGTCTCCTCTGCCCTCACAATCTTTTGTCCATTTGCATCTTTTTGTTTTTGGAGTTTTGAACTGATGAGTTCATAAAGACGATTTCTTCGCACATTGTGGGAAACGCATCTTTTTTTTTTTTTTCTTTTCACTTTTATTATCTAAATGTTTCTTCCTGTCCCATCGGTCTCGCATTTCATTGAAAACTTGCTGTAAAGCCACCAGTCTTTTAAAAAGTTTGTATCGCCTTTTTTCAGAATTGGTCTAAAAACTAACTGTAACTCAGTAACAGTACAACGCTGCTACAAATTACTGCACATTTAAATAAAACTGTAATTTCATTATTGCAGCACTATAAATTCAACTATTGGTGCTGGGATTTCCTGTTCACTGTAACCTGGCGTAATTAAAAACATAATTGGCAGCTGTTGGGGAAACTGATATGAAAGATCAGTATCTTTGTGCATCAAAAAAAATTAAATGGCAGCATTAGCTTGCATTAGCCATTCACAATCAAAGTCACCATTGTTGTAGCATGTAGTTTATTAAAAAGAGTTATTTAAGCACATAGCAGAAGAATTTGTTACATGATTATACAGAAATCAGCCATAACATTAAAAACATTAATATTATTTGGATCCTTACTGTGGTGCTGCTCCAAGCGCTGACCATCAGGCTGTGGACATGGGACTTGTCCTGTGGTGTCTGACTTGGATGCTCACAAAGGTTCCTTTGATTTGTTTTGGTGTGATGCAGTGTAGTCAGGGAGAGGCTGCTGCTGTCAGGGAGTGTTGTCACCTTGGAAGGGTGTGCCTCTTCTGTAAAAATGTTGGTGGGAAGCAACAAATAAAACCTCCCAACAAATGCTCTCACAGCACATTGATCAATGTAATTTACATTTTAATTGGTTTTGATGTTTTTGCTGATTGCTGTATGGCATTTCCTGGTTTAGTCTTCTTTTTTTTCCCCACCATAAAGTCAGCACAGTTATAACTGCTACACTAAGGTTCAATCATCCTGTCCATCTCGCTTTTGGTACCATTTTGCATCAATTTGAAATGGAAGCTTGCTCACCAAAAATAAAAAAAATACTTTTTCAGTATACAGTGTTTGTGTGTTGACCTTTGACCCAAGTTCCCCAGTAAAAGCAATATCATGTGCCTTTAGCCAGCATTTAAATTTAAGTATTTCAACAAACCAAGAGTTTCACTCATACTGAACAACAACAACGTGATCTTTCCTGGATCATTAAAATACACTGAAATACTGTATATGGTCATTTGATGTGTTTTAAATCCAAACCTGGACTGGTACTTGAAATAATGTGGGGCCAGAAAAAGAGAGGAAAGTTCAACTGATGCTTTTTTTTTTCTTTTCATATCATCATTCACACTGTGTTCATTCTGTGAGTACTGATTTCAAAGGCTCTCTAACATGCTGACCGTGATACAGAATGTGGACATGTGTTTCTGCAGCTGTGCATATAATAACGTGCTGTCCTTATGTTTGCAACAGGTGCGCACTGCAGATCTGGGGGGCTATGCAACAAGCAACGAGTTCACCCGTGCTGTCATTGCTAACCTGTCGGTCTGAGCATTATGTTTGCAGATCTGTCAGCTGCTGAATCGCACACATTTTTAATTATCTTCCTGTCTTACACGCTTGTACGCACAGTACAGCCCTATCCCCCTACATTCTACACGCAGTGCCCTTCTTATCAGAGCAAAATGCAAATGAAATACATTGTCCACAATGTTTTATTTTTGCTGTTTTACAGTTGATATTTAAACACTTAACGTTGCATCCAATTAAAAAAAAAAAGTGGATTGGTGATATTTTTTCTTTTTATTATGGTGCAAAACTTATAATGCTGTTACACTATTTCACACCACTTCCTGACATTCTACTGCCTTGCATGATACTCTAATTTCTACTTAATGATTTTATGTGTGGACATTAACCGGAAGTCAAAACACAACGTATGTATATTTCAATATTAATAAAGTTTTAACTTAATGCTTCTTCATTTATGCTATATGAATAATAAATAAGAAATGGAATATGACATCTTGCGTGCAGAATCCTTGAATGAGCATTATGGAGACTAATACGGTGTTATTAAAAGTTTATTATGGCTGATGGCACATGTCACCTCGCATGAGGATCCTAACTCCCTTCCTGTGTCCAAACATATTCATGGTGGTTTTTGGAGAATTTAAATGTTGGTAAAACTGAGTTTTTCTGGCTGTGTTGGGTGTATCATGGGACAGTGTATGCTCCAAGTCCCCAATACCATTAACTAACAGTTCAATATTAAATATATTTTTTGCCTTCGTCTATATAAATTATTAATAAATTGTAGGAAATTTTCCAGCTTTCTCTTTACTGCAGAAGGTCGCAAAAGAGTTATTACAGGTCAGTTATGTGACTATTTTCAGAGGAATAGTTTATGGATGAATTTTAGTAATAAATTTAAAGCATAGAAGCAGCACTATAATGATGCTTCCTTATGATCTTCTCACACCCTCAGACAACATCTCTGCCTGGCCTTGTGCTGCTAGATGAGTGCAACATTTCATAACACTGATCACGTGTACCCTGCCTCTTACCTTATGGTAGCCAGGATAGGCTCCAGACGACCCTGATAAGGATAAGCGGAAGAGGATGGCTGGATGGACTAGAATACACAATTGTGTTTCCAGGAAGTTTTAATTGTAGTTATTTATATATATAAATGATGGTTCTTACACACAAAAGTTAATCACGGAGTTCCACAGGGTTCTGTGCTAGGGCCCAGACTGTTCTCGTTATACATTCTTCACTTTGGAATTAATATTAGAAAACGCTGCATATACAGATGATACCCGATGTTGATACAAATCGTCTGGTTAAACTCCTGGCATGTGTTAAAGATATAAGGGCCAGTAATTTTGTTTTTTCCTCTAGCCCACAGTTTCCTATTGATTATTTTATTAACACATGCTCAAAGAAACACAACAACAGCAAAAAACAATGAAAAATATTTTTTATTAAACTTTCTGAATCTGATGATCATTCCGACTGTTGTAGACAGAAAATGAACTATTTACCCTTTATATGTTACTACTAGTTATTTATTAGTTTCAAAGTGGCTCAGTAAATTATATTTAAAAAATTGTTACCAGTAAAATAAAAATATAATTTAAAATGTATATTATTTTAGTTAGAAAATCAGTTCTCTACCTACTTATCCCTACTAAACCAAGATGTAATACTGAAAATGTCATTAGAAAGGGTAAAAATGTAATAACCTCAGCAAAATAACTTGACTAATAATGAAAGGATAAAAATAATAATAATTTTGCTTATAGGCAAAAGACTATCGCTGGATATATTACTGAATAAAATAGTCTTTAATTATTTGTTAAAAATAAATTACATGGCTTTCAACAAATTACCTTTTCCTCTATTAAACATGTGGGCCCAACCATCAAACTGACGTCACATTTCTGTAATATTGCCCCTGGAGAGTTGCCTCTTTAAAGAATAATCTGATAATTCCCTTTGAAATGTATGTAGATTGGAAAAATGAAGTGGTCTATCATCAATCAGAACAGGTCTCTGGCCCTCAATGCTGTGTTAAGTAGCACTGATGGGGGCCGCTGCAGTGTGGAAGGTGTAAAGTGGATCTGGGCCAGCAGGTGTCGCTGCGGGCTACAGAGAAACACAGCGGAGAAGAGACGGGGCCAGGCCTGGGAATTCGTTCCCCGCTTCCCATTCTTCCTATGCAGACAGACACACAACATGGCGGACTAGAATAGTCGGCCGACGCGCCCGGATACAGCGGATAAACCCTGGGATTTAACATCCAAGAAGGCGAAGAAAATACCCTCCGAAGAGACGCTACAGAAGGGCGAAATTCTAATTTTTTTGGAGGGGGCGCTTTCTTTACCCTGGCTTTAGCGGATAAACTGACTGTGAAGTGTTGGCAGTGCGTCCCAGATCGTGCTTCCCTCCTCTGGTATCACCCTGGTCCCCCCCCCACCTCCACCCCACTCACACTCTTGGTTCCTGGGGTGTGGAGAAAGGGGCCGGGGTTGAAAACGTGGAAGACAGGATAAATTCCCACTTGGCTTTCATTTTTTCCCCCCTTCTTCTTCTCTCGCCTCCCCCTCCGGTTTCCTTTGGGCTCTACAGGAGTTGTGGTGAGTTTTCTTGTTTTTGTTGCGCAAAGCAGAATCCCACTTGTTACAATGTCGCTCTACGAGCATGTTTCCCCGTGTTGTAACATTGTGTCACCCTCAAACGAGCACTTTCCGTCCCCGTCCCCCCCTTCCTCCCGCTTTTTACGTTACATGATGCCGTTATCGATTGGGGGGGGGCTCGTCCACGGAGCAGCGCGGCGTTTAATGAGTTGTGAGCCTCCCTGTAACGCCTGAACATTTCAGAAGTAGCTCGGAGGCAGGGAGGGAAATTTTGGCGAGAGGGGACTCCGAAGAAAGGAGGGGAGGGGGGAAGCTTTAAGAGAGAGTGCGACAACATTTAAGAAGTTGGTTTTGTTGTGCCAACACAGATGCTGTTGCGCTTACGCTGGAACAAAGAGGGGGTGGAGTGGCGGGGAGAGGGGGTTCCAGGGTTGCCTCACTGGAAAGTACACTTTATTGATCAACGCTTTGTTATTACACGTTCAGAGAGGGAGGGAGTGGAGCTGGCTGGGTGGAGGAGCAAGGGGGGCTTCATGCGACCCACAACAGGAATTAGGTCGCCCTGACGTTAACGTGTATGCTCTGTCACATCACAGCGGCTGCTTTGTGTTTCCTCACCTCTTCAAGATGGGGGTCTCACATGTGTGCTTTCCCAAACTTTTTTCTTTTTTTAATTATTAATAATAGTCCTCTCTCTTTCTAAGCTTTGGGTGTATCCAAGCATACAATTTTAGTCGTGTGGGTGTTGATGGCTTTTTAAAATTATTATTATTTCAATCCTCTACTCAGACTTGAGCAGTGATTCGTGATTCCCAGCTCATCAGAACACGGATCTTGTTGTAAGGGTTCGCTTGTCATTGCCAGTAGTGGGAATTGACATTAAACATCGGTGGCATAACTGCTGCAGCCGAGCTGAGCATCAGCGAAAGAGTGTGAAAGCCTCAAAGTCAGAGCAGAGAGAGGGAGAGGAACATCGTCAGGCTGATCGGACATGGCAGAGACTTCCTTGTCATTTCTGGGAAAAGCCTCTGCTACAGAATGTCAGCCTGAAGCTCCGCTTATAATGCTTGGTTCAGTTCACTGAACTGTGGCACATATCTATACACCATGCTTCACCATGTGTGCCTCCCCACAGCAGGCATTCAGCTTCACTTGAAGCCGTCATGTCATGTTAGGACGATCTCAGTGCACAAAACCTCCCAACTCCTGTGACTCTTCTCTCCGGCTTATCCTGACCTCTGTCTGTCAGGCCTGAACATATTCACCTTTCACCCTGTACCCCATTAAAAAACAAACCAAACCAAAAAACTGTAACATCATATCTGCCTGTCAAACATCACCAGCACCTTGAAAGCCGTATTGTGAAAAGAGGGAAAAAGTTTGCTTTGGCAATACGGCAGAAAAAGGCAGGGCTGTTAGAATCGTGCTCACTATGCCTGTATATATCTTTGCACCTATTCTAAGGAGAGAGAAAAAAATGAGTTATTTCTGTCTTGTTGGGATGCTGTCAGAGTTTTAGCAGAGGAAGTGGAGTGATCATCCTCGCACCACATTTTTCACGATTGGCCTAGTTACTAAAAATAAAATAAGTATAGCTTGAAATCACTTTGTGGGAACTTTGCGTTGAGTGTCAATGAGTGGGTGTTTAAAATAATGGCCCGTGTGTTGTGAAATTTCACAATTTCAGGGCTCTGACACAATATTATGAGTTTGCTTTTTGGGTGGGGCTGGAGGTATATTTTTGTTTCCACCTGTGGGCCCTGTATGTTTTGCTGAGGAAGAGCACTGTAATTCAGCCTCTCGCGGGATAAACACTGCTCCATTTAGAGGATTATGATGCATTACAGGGGCCTGATTGGAGCTACATGCGATATGTCAATTGGATCTTAATGACATTTATTCCACAATACAGGAAATG